CTACGGGCTGACCCCTGGTCGGTATCGCCCACCTGCTGTAGCAGGTATCGCACCTGCTCGTGGGTGCAGCTCCCGCATGTTCCCTCGTTGGAGGCTTGAGCACGTATGTGGCTGCTACGGGGTTCGGGTTTTTTTCTGGATGGATTGGGTTTTTTTTTTTTTTTTTTTTTTTCATGCATGATGAAAAAGTTCGTGAGAGAGGGAAGCTTTCCAATAGGCTTTCAAAGGCTTTCGCAGGTCTTGGAATTTTTTTTTTCTTTTTCCGTTTTTCATTCTATCGCAGTCGTAAGCTTTTCGAAGGCTTTCGCAAGCTTTACGCTTTTCGATTCGAAGGCTTTCGCGGGCAATGGGAGGTCAATTAAAACTGTGTTATTTCTTTTTTCCTTTTTTTTTTTCTTGGCTAATATAAAAAAAAACTGTGTTATTTCTTTTTTCCTTTTTTTTTTTCTTAGCTAATATAAAAAAAAAGGAAAAAAGAAATAACGTACCATCAGGGCCAAGGTTAGCTACAACTACACGAAGACAGTGAGACCCGGGCCCCGCTGTTTTTTTTTTTTTTWTTATATTGAACCGAAGTGATCGATACAGGCTATTCGCACAGGCTATTCGCAGGCTTTGAGCGCCGCTTCCCCGCTACAACTACTTTTCTACCTTACCCTGGCTGCGCCCCCACGCTCTGCGTGGCACAGTAATTCATTCTAGCGTCGTATTTTTATTATCCTTTATGCCCCAGCGTGCCGTTGACCTGGACGAGATGCTGGATTTAATGGCCGTCACGGTAGTCTAGGACCTTGAGTGTGTGCCCCGTTTGGCGGGGCCGCGTGCGGGTGTGTTGTATTCACAGGAAGCCCCGTAGCAGCCACGCTCGTGCTCAAGCCCCCAACAAGGGCGATACAGGCCAGGCACCAGCCGGTGGCATCAGGGTCGAGCGCCTTCCATGGGCCACTCACTGTGCCTTTCCCCAAGTCCCCTCCCCCTATGAGCATCTGTAGTCGCGGCTCAATGCCGCTTGACAGAAGGGGGGGACCAACGAAGTATCTCTGGGCCTGGACGGCGGGTCCGGACGGCTCGCGTTGAGCAGCAGCAAGTGGAGCGGAGCGCGGAGGCCGGGAAGGCGAGGCAACGAGATGCAAGCAGCGGGCGCTGAAGCGGAGCAACGAGGCAGAAGGGCGATAGGCATCAGGCAAAAGGGAGTAAGAGGCAGCAGGGAAAAATAGCGCAGTGGGACGACGGGCACAAAGGAGAGGACTAAAGTCGCGAGCGGAGGGATACATTATTCGGGAGAGAGAAGGCTAGGAAAAAGGGACTGAATGTGGACGCGGATTCTTGCCAGGGGCATTCAGGGGTGAAGAGAAAGGGGCTGAGCTATGGTGGGAGTGAAGAAGTGGAAAAGTGCAGCTCTTCTCCTTTACCTAGCAAATTGGAGCGAGGTAAGAGGGGACTTTGAGATTCTAGGCCAGGGCGAAGTCATTAGTAAAGCTAGTTTTGCTGACAGATTAGTGAGGAGAAAGTTAGTACAAAAATAACGTGCGTAGGAGATGGCGGTGGCGGAGAAGTGAAGGAGAGATGCGGAAAGGATAACGAATCTCGCCCGTTTCTTGATGAAAACGGGCGAACGGAGAGTCAATCCGGGGGTTTTGAGGGGTGGCGACCCCGAATCCCAGCGTAGAATTAGCAAAAAGTTAGTAGAAATAGAGATAATAGAGAAAACGAGTGCGCGGACATGGACGGAAGCGAAGAAGACAAGGGGCAAAAATTTGCGTCACTCGACTGTTTCTCATCCGTTTTCGATAAACTAAGATCCTAATCGGGGGTTTTTAAGGCGGGCGACCCCGAATCCGAGGTTAGATGTAGGAGAGGAGAGTTAGTTTTTGTACTGTGAGAAAAAGGTGTTGCGCACCAGATGTCAGGGAGAAGCGAAGGTGGTGAGGAGGGGATGTGTGATTTGGCGGTTGCACGACATGGAGTACGAAGCAGCTGAGCCAGTTTTTCCGATTCGACTAGAAGTTCGCTCAGTATAAGAGGAACGGGCTGCGCCATGCACAAGGGAAAATTGTAGACGATTCTATCCGCATTTTAGTGGGAGATTCAGCCTCATCGTGCATAACTTGCGGGCACCGCGTATTGGCATACTCCTCGTTCCCTTGCTGGTATGGCGACCGGTGGTTCGGTTTCGCAAGTGTGCGGCTTGCGTCAGCTCGAGACATTGACTAAGTTCGTTGTACCCTCTTCCATCCTCACGGTCGAAGTGACGACCATCGGAATCGTGATTGTTTCATGATTAGTGGTCAACAAATATGCAAAGGGGGAGCAAGCGCGTAAGAAAGGCAGATTCCGAAGTAGCCTGCGTATTTGGCAGGAGTGAGTAGGAGAGATTTCTGGCAGCTTATCCCTCCGCAGACCGCAAGGAAACTCACTCTGATTCGGCTCTTTCTATCACCTTGATGGGCGTAGGACCGACCCCGAGGAGGTAAACTCATCAGCTAACTAGCATGCCAACCATCTTACCACCCGAGACCACAAGGAAGTAGCAGCGTGGCAGGCATAGCTGTTGGTCGGGGAGCTGTTCATCCCACCGGACAACTGGCTGCACATAAGTAGCGAGGTAAAAGCTCGCCGGTTGACTGATTCTGTCGGCCTATATGCAGCCATCCTACTGAGAGGAGTGGTGTGAGTCCAGTGGCGAGACTGGAGACTTACTCATTAGCTGGTATGAAGCCCCTCCTGTTAGCCGGAGCAGCGAGGGGACCGGCCGCGAAGGCGATAGACTTATCTGATAGCTGGTGCGCTGTTCGTCCTACTAGCTGAGTAGCCGGTGGCGAACCACGAGCTTGCAGGATTACCTATAGCGAACATACTTGGGGCTGCAGTAGATTGGCCAGGAAGGACGACGCTGCAACCATGGGAAGTGTTTCGGATCTGCGGAAGAAAGTCATTGCTGCGATTTGGAGGGTCGCCAGGAGATTGACAGGCAGCAGTTTGACTTCAGTTTGACCAGCGGCAGCACATTCTGGCCATCATTGCGGGACCCTTAGGCGCGTTAAGGAACCGAGGCCCTCTCACGCAAGTCTGAGAGCACCCCTCTTGGAACGTTGCAACCATGAGAAGTGTTTCGGATCTGCGGAAGAAAGTCATTGCTGCGATTTGGAGGGTCGCCAGGAGATTGACAGTCAGCAGTTTGACTTCAGTTTCACCAGCGGCAACACATTCTGGCCATCATTGCGGGGCCCTTAGGCGCGTTAAGGAACCGAGGCCCTCTCGCGCAAGTCTGAGTGCACCCTTCTTGGATCTGAGAGTCTTAATGCTTCTCCTTCTGCCCTTCTTACTCTAAATCTGATCTATTGGTTCTGAGAGGAAGGCGACAGGCGGGATTGCAACCCGTAGGACCTCAGCAAGACTCTGTGGGGAGTCAACCCACCGATTGCGGGAGCTCTGCTGGAACTCAGGAGGAGTTTTGGAGGCGGGGAACCAAGAGGTAACTTCCAGACTCCCTTTATAAACCCAATTATAACCCCTACCTGTACACCTTGCTATGTTTGACTGAGTATACTGTATGCGCCCTACCTTTGACTTTGGGTTTAACTTTCAAAACATAACCCAGACTAAGTAAAGGAATGAGTGCACAACCTCAAGTTTCCATTTTATTGATTGTCTGAAAGCAGATCGTGACAAGGGGTTGCATCAAGGGAAAGGTTGGGAGAAAGGCAGTTTT